TTGTAGCCGTGCATGTCGGTGCAACCGCAGGTCGCGTGATTGGGGATGTGTTGACAGGCGTGGATGGGGCCGCGGGATGGACCGGAGCCGATGGTCCTTGAGTCGTACTAATGTTTTAGGGGTGCTTAGCTGGGCACGTTGGCTGGAGTGTTGGTTAAGTACATATTCCGAAATGGATGGATTGTCCCTTAAAACATGGAGTATGAACCCCAACTCCACGTCTAAGAAGGTTCCATTCAGAGCAATGAATTGCTCAAGCAACCGTAAGCAACCCATTTCCTTGAAACTGTTTTGGATTGGGGACGCAGATCCAAGATCATCTAAGATCATCTAAGATCATCACATCGATGAAAGATTCTTGGCCACACATTCTCGGAGCCTTCAAAAATTTGGTGTGACACTTGCTGCGACCAGTGAGGTCCAGGAAAGCACCTTAGGCGTTGAAAGACGGTGTGAATCTCCCGCAACTCTGACTCACTCTTCTCATCCGATATCGTTTAGAATTATTAGTTTACACATTATGAAAGACATGTAATTAAGACATGAAGCTCCAAACACGTTCTCAAACTCCGCCTTCCTTTGGGTTCCCCGCACTCCGCACCCAAACTCCGCACTTTGCCACGAAAAGAAACGATCCCTCCGGGACGGCATGCCACGGCAGAACTGCCTCAGGCCGCAACGCCGAGTTCGAGCGCGATCGCTTCTTAGCCTCACTGCCGGCCAAGGCCGCAGCGGTCTTTGCGACGGTCTGCAGATAACGGTGCAGTCTTAGAAATCGGAACTACGGTCCCCGGTTTTCCCCCGAAGTTGGGGGTTTTCACCGGGGATGAAGGTGTCATCAGTTATCCATCCAAGGGATCTGGATTCGGCAACTGGATGGGCTCCCAAGTTCGTTGCTTTTCAGATTGGACAACTGCAAGAAGTGACCTTGCTCCCCCCTCATACCAGTTTATAGACATGATCTTTTTAGGAGGCATCAATGATGGACGAATGCTGCATGTTGCTTGAGAACGACTCGGGGACTCCGGACTCCAACCGCCGAGGCGACCCAAACGAACCGCCCGAGCCCCGAACGGCGCCGTTTGACCTCGCCGCTCGCGGCGGAGGTCTTCTATAGCAACTGAGCTGGTTCTCCGCAGCGCCGCGGGCCAGGCTGTGCACGGCGAGCGGTTGGAAGGAGTTTTATCATGAGTTATTCGGGCTTGGCTAATGTCATGAATTTAGGTCATTTGGGTTTCACCGAATGAGGGCTCCAACAGCACTTAAAAATACTTAAGATATACGCATAGTGACACTAAAGTAGTCTGAACGAGATAGTGTGATTTGCTACTAAATTAGTCTGAACGAGATACTGTGACATGACCTCTTACTTGAGTGGTCTAAACGAGATAGGACCCCCACATAATAGATAGTGAATAGGAGGTTTAGTACCAAATAAATGCCGCCGCACAAAATAAACAGAGTAGCTCCATCACGTTTAACGAATAGTACACTGTTTTGTGTTTTTGATTCACTAACAAAGACCAAGGTTACATGACCGTTTGGTCTACGTTTACACAAAGAGGTTGATACAACTTATAGAGTATGGCGCGTCACGCAATCTAGCGCCCTTGATGCTGGTGATGGTCCGGGACAGTCGGGACGGGATCCTCGGTGAACGAGATCCGCCCCGAAACGAGCGGTCGTTGGACCCCCCCCTTCCGGTCGGTGGCCTGATCGGTGTGGGCGGTCGGTGAAGCAAAATCATCTGATCGATGTGTTGCTCGTACGAACGATGGTGTGCTGTATTTGGGTGTGCATGAATTCTTAGTCTTATAATGAAGTGCTGTAGTTGAATCATGGTTGCGCATGCGCTAGACAAATTATAGAATCGATTTGTTTAACACTCATCCAGGGTCCAACTTGTTTGCATTGGTATGGATGAGCCATGGATTCCATGATGTTTAATGTTAATTGGTATTGAAAACAGTCAGCAAGAGTCACGTCAAAATCTTGGGCAATCGGTGGAATTCCTCTTTTGCGTGCATGAGAGTATCTGAAAAAAGTAAAATAAAACGTGTAGACTAGACTCCGCTTCATTGATATCTTCCAAAACAACCAAAAGTCGGATCGCATTCGCAGGCATCAGGTTCCCACATCGTATCCTCACTTGTCGAACTCCACGGACGTCGGATGTCTCACCGCTGGAGACCCAACTACGGTATCGTACGGTGAGCTAAGACAGTAAAGACCCCAAGACTTTAGAGGACTGAATCTCTAGATGCTAACAGCCCAGAAAAGAATTGTTATCCCTCTAAGATCTCGAAGTGACCCGTTCTGGATGTGTTTCAATACATTTCCGGACCCTCGACCGGGCGCAACTGCAGTGCGCCCACGAACGGGGCGCAACTGCAGCGTGTTCTGCCATGGCTGCGGCACGGGCGAATCACCACTTTGACGCCATGCGACGGGCGAATATAAATCAAGGACATAATGTTTGGTGTCTGGACTTAGTGGTGTCAAGCCCAGCGTCTTGTGAGGATCAAAGAAGGAACAAATCATACTGTAAATCAACTTGCAGTGGAGGATTGAAGTGAGGGATATACTACAGTAAATCAAATATCCAGTTCGGCCCTTCTTGACATATAGATTAATTATAAATACAATATAGCCAGAATATATTTACAATGCTTACACGTCATGTTTTGACGAAGTCAATTCCGGAGCGCTCTCATGCCTAGAGGCTCAAAGCGAGGGTGAACACCGAATCCGCTCAGATCTAGATGTTTGACCAAAGGCTCAATTGAAAAAAGATTAAAAAGAAGCTACTAGGAACAAGTGCATCGCTCCTAGTAACAAGTGCCTTACTAGTAGTAACAAGGTTCGCTACTAGGAAGAAGTGCCTTACTACTAGTAACTGGGCCCGACCCGGTCGGCGCCTACATGACAGCCTAGTCTCCAATCACGGTGCCGGTACCACCGCGCCATCCGTTCGCCCAAACGGTTCGATTCCCGGACCCATGCGGGACAGAACGGGGAAAGCGCTTGGTTGGTCCGTTTGGGGAAAGCGCTGGGTCTATCACTTCGCGACGGAGCGGTGGAGAGGTTCTTGAAGCAAAACACAGTTGAACATCAAATGGAAAGAAGATTGAACCGATGTTCCCACAAAACTCCTTTTTTTTCCGCGGGAAAAAAACAACAACTTATAAATACAAAAAAGAACAGTGGGTGTGACAAGAACAATAAGAACAAACGTGTTCCCACCAACAACAAATTGAACATAGTTGAACAGATGTGTCTCAGACATGTTTTCGTGATGTCTCAGACATATCAGATCTTTGCATCTCTGATCGAATGGGCAAATCGTTGAGAATCCGATCATTGCTTTGAAGGGGGTGTCTTTGTACGCACTGCTTTATTTTGTGACTGGTAGAATGGTTTGCAAATCGCTCACATGACAACAGGCGTTCCCAAAGGCAAGTGGACTGAACTTCCTCTTGTGCTGCTTAATTTGCTCTTGTGATCCCGCACAAGTTACAGCCAAAGGCAAGGCTACGATAGGTGATTGAGGTTTGTTACATTCCTTTTTGATTTGATTGGTTTCACCTGTCACCTGGTGCAGGTTCTATACATGCAGGTGACATTCAATCCCAACCCAAATGTGATCAGTTGTGATGACTTGGTTGTCCTTTATGCCAAGCAAGAAGAAATGCATAGAAATGCCCGATGGCGTGGAGGGACACCTTGGGTTGTCCCCAGATTTGCGAAGTCAGAAGTGACGGATGTTTTGAGACAGTTCTTTTTGGTGGCCGAGAGAAGTGGAGGATCTGAGGAGAGCGCAGGATGAGAAGTCAATTGTCAATTGAAAGCCTTTCGGTTCAGTTATTTTCAGTTTATTTGGAAACATGAGGTCAAATTCGTCGAAGAGAAGTGGACATGACACAGATATATATTGTATATCAGAAAGAAGAGAGAGATGGAGAGAGACTATATATAGTTTCAGGCACTGTGCCAATGGCCACCGAGCACTGTCGAATCTCGGTTTGTTTAGGCACGCGGCTGATGATGGGCTTTCAGAAAAAGGGGTTGCGCCGCTTGCGCACATTCTAAACGATGAGGGGGGAAGATGACTGGGTGAGTGTCAGTGTCCCATGGTGCTTCGGTTCTCGGTCTAGGAAGGTTGCCGGAGCTTCTGGTAGAAAGTAGCACTGTAAGTCGGCGTCCCATTTCTTCCTAACCTAGATCAGAGTTCAACACTCATGCAATTCCAGCTTCTTGCTGTGGTGTCCGCAAGCATTTTGTGTGGAAATGACGGTTTTGATGGTTTTTGCAGAAGGTAGTTGAAGATGTTGGAGATGGTGTCCCATTGGGATTGGGCAATAAAGGGTGACTTCTCAAGCGAATTAGTGACGTCTCTCGATTGTGTTGCCCCTGGGGGATGGATGACTTCACACGAGCACGAGTGACTTACCACCGCCAAGTAGTGCCAAACACTCACAAATGATTGCAGGGATCTAAGGCATGATCAGAATATGGAATATGTCAGAATGATCCTTGAACTTGAAGCTCCCCTTCCGAAAGGGCATGTTGGTTAAGTTTGTTGGTTGCTTCTCTACTTGTAAGGCCCTGCATGGCACTCCATCAACAAGCATTTTGTTTAGGAGCCCTAGCAAATCGTGGTGGATTGATGTGAATTGTTCATTTGACGACTTGAGCAGATGGCACAAACCTGAACTGAGATAGCTGGAAAGGGGATGCCGCGCGCATTCTTGAGCCAGCTCTGGAAGTGTTTTGTGCCGCCTTTGAAGCGACTGCAAACCATTTGGGTGGTTCAGTTCCAGTTTATTTGGGAAGGTCGTGTTTGTTTGCACCCATGAAGCATCCGCAAAAAGTCGCACATGTCTTCATTATCCTTCCTCTTAAATCCAATGCATTGGGGGCACTTGCAAGCAGGGTCCGGGGTTGGGAAGACTTTTCCTCTTTCTCGGGTGGGCTGGGTGTCGCCGATCGCCATCGCGGAGGTACACTCCTCACGCGTCGGACCTCACGCCCTTCGAGTACTCGGTGGCGAGCACCATCAGCCCATTGTACTCTCCGGCCGGACGTCCCGGAGGGCGACCGGGGGAGAGTTCCGACAGGGCAGGACAAGATGCAACTGCATGGAGAAAATGAGGGAAAACAAGTGGTTAATCCATCAGAGGGCAATGATCCTGTTCCAGGCTTTTTCAAAACACGTCTGAGCTCCGGACCCCAAGGGGGCACTTGTTGGGTGGATAGTTCATGGAGATATCTCCTGCAAGGCCCCCCCAAACAAATTAAACATGATAGAGAAGTCATGAATATTCCAAAGTCCAAGATTGTAACATGTTCTGGACACCAACATCGTGGTGATTTTCTCCTTGGAGACGGGGCGTTTTGGGAGTGAGACCTGGAAGACCCGTGCCACCATACAGGGAGAGGCACAGAATGAGAGAACAGCGCCAGGAAGTCGACCCTCAACGAAGTAAACCGGCGATGATTTGGTGTCCGCTCCGGCCTTAGGCTAACAAGAAGGAAGAGGATGACAAGGACTGGCGGTCAGGCTGAGCTGTTGAGGAATAGAATTCTGGGCATGTGTTTGTTTTTTCCTTACCCACTTCCTCGACTCGTCCAAGGGATGTCAGTGAAGCAACTTTGGAAGAATTGGATCACATGGCCAGTTTCGATGTGGCACTTTATATACTGTATGTAAATATGTATTCTATCGAGATCTATATAGTATAGCCAGCAGATTCTGTTCCTGACTGCTAGCCACGTGTTCACCAGAAGGGCGCCCGGTCTGACGGAGGACATGGATGAGTTCGACTACTCCCCAGGGTCCGGAGCTAAGTCACTTGGGTGATGTGTGGTCCGCAGCCAGATCCGACGGGTGTAAGCTGCATGTTTGGTCAGCCATTGATAGGGAGTGAGCATGTGTAAGCATGTGGTCCAAACATGTGTAGTCTGGTGGATGAACAACAACAACAACAACAACAACAACAACAACATAGGGCCAATTGAGGATGTTTTGGAGGATCTTTGGGGAATTTGTTCGGCATATAATATATTATATATATATATATGTTTTATGTCCTGAGGTTGATGTCGGCCGCAATTTGTTGTGGACGGTCGAGGTGTGAAAGGACGAGGTGTCGGGGTGTGAGATACTGGTGGTGCCTTTCTGCTAGAGACACACCAAGGGTGTGGAGCCTTTGTTGGAACGAGTGAGACTCCTAGAAAGGGGTACGAGTTTGACAACCTGATGATTTGCAACACTTGATGGCTAGATCATTTCCTTACTCTTGACCAAAGCCACGCGCTACCCAAGACAGAATGACACCATAGTTTTCCTTGCAAGAACCAAAACATCAGAGAAAGTCGCAAATGTGGCCAGATCAATCTGAGAATCCAGGTAAACATGTAGACATATGTCTATATATATATATTATATATATATATAGACTGTAGATTCTGAATATAGATGCACATGATGCATCGACCCCCCGTTCGATGGCAGCGATTGAGTGTGCGATGGCAGCTCAGCGCACCCAGGGCCTCGGTGTACAGCCGCAGCGCACCGAAGACGGGCCAGTCCATGGCGAGCAGGGGGACTGAGAGCGACGCTCGGGTGGTCTCCCGGAACAGGGACGATCAAAGGACTGGAACCGGTAGACCGAATTGTACCGATGTTTACCAGTAGGTAGCTGAAAATGGTCCATGGGTTGTTTGTGAGATGTTGCGAGTGCATGATATTGCATGATCACTTCCACATCGAAGGACTTTTGAGAAGTGGACCACCCACCTTTCCCCAGCAAGACTTTCTCTTTTGCCTAGGCTTTGTAGACTCCTGCCAGCATACCTTGTTTGCGGGAGTATGCTCTCACGGATGGTGACCTGCTCTCCATCTCCAGCGACTGTCCAGGAGGGAGACTAGTAGCGTCCGGACGCTCCTAGTAGACATGCCCTTTACTACTGGTACGTAGTTTCTTGTTCCTAGTAAGGCCTGGAGCCCCGTTCGTAGCGTCCGATCCCTCCTTGTCCAGGTGGGAGATATACTCCGGCCAAGACGCCGGGAAGTGTGTTGGGGTGCCGAGCCGACCGCAGGAACCTATTTGGCCGTAAAGGGTCGGAAGGAGCTCTCAAAAGGAACCATCGTCATGTCGAGGTTGATATGAACACTGTGTTCCTGTTATTGTTTTTCTTTTGATTGGACCTTTAGACCTTTGGAGTTGTTCTTTTCTTCTCCCAGCCAATGGTTGTTCTTTTGTGGATATGGTTTCAACCAATCCGAACTTATCAAAATGCCCAGATTGAGTCGATTCACACGTCCAATGCTGGTGGTTTGGGGGGGCAAAACCTCGCCCAGCCATGACTTCGTCGACCGAGTCGAACGAGGCCTTCGTCGAAGGTAGGACGTCAGCCCGCAACTGATGGTGAAGATCCGCAGTGGAAATATTTTGAGCATCAACATGAGGAAGAAAGATGTTCACCGTTAAATATGTTTTTACCATGCATCCCAACATGGTGAAGATCCGCAACATGAGGAAGACAGATTTTGCGTGTTCCGTGTTAAATCCCAGAGATCATCCCAGATCATATCATATATATATAACCTTTCGAATCTGTTCAATCGATCCATTTCTTATTCCATGGAATTGAGCACTCTGATGGTTCTGTTTGTCCTATTTCCAGAACACTTCCAAAGAAACACACGGGATTCAAAGCAAGATCAGCAACATTCAGCAATCCTCGAGGAGGTTCCGGAGGGATTCACACCATCTTGCGGGGCTCTACTGGACCCGAGACACCATCAAAGGGCTCTATCCCATTCGACTGGACCCGGGTCCATCCACATCTCAGCAAGGTATGCGCCCAAGACTGCCATGTACACGCCTTCCGCGATGAGGCAACCGGTGTCAGCGTTGTGGTGCGGTGCATGCTATCATCGCATGCTTTGTGGCCGAAAATGATCGGTTCCTCTTAAGGCAACGCCCAAGCCGATGCAGGGGTAATCATTCCATTTCGCGACACATGCAAACTGGGTGGTTTGGTATGGCTCAAGACCCTGGTGATACTGAGAGCAATCAGGGCGGTTGTAGCTCGGATCCCTACAGGTCCAGTCCGACCCAGCAAAGCCGGATCTTTTACTTCATTGAGTAGTGTTTTTGTATGTTTTGTATGATCAACTGCAGGAAAATGAGGTCTTTGACCTGTAGAGTATAGGTCTTTATATGTCGTTATCATCCTTGTAACCACGCACGTGAACCACTTTTCAAGCCAAAATGAAGTAGGAAGGAAGTTTTTCGGCTGGCTTGGCGGATTCCTGTGACCAGTGGACGGTTCCGAGTCTGGGTAAGTTGAATCTGGCCCACAAGTAGATGAAATGGTTTGCAGAGTAATATACAGTAATATACAACAATATACTTGTCATATACAGTAATCCATTGTTATATTAATCCATTGTTATCTACAGTAATATACAACATGTTATACACCATTATACAGCTAGAGCCCATGTGACGACCCTTTTACTGGGTGGGTGATTCTGATCCAACATAGAGGTCACTCAGGTTCTGGATCATATGGAGAAATGGCTCGGTAGATGAACTTGACAGGACTCCATGGACTCAAAGGGACCGCTCGCCACGTCCGCTCGCCACGTGCAGAAAGAAAAACATTAAACATCAGGCCAGGACTTCGGCAGCGTGGACAAAGCAAACAAAAACACCACGGACCTCCAAAAATGAACTGGTGAACCAACAAAAGCACAATGTCAAAAGGTGCTAGACCAAAAACCCGCAAAAGCACCTCACAGAACCACCTTACTAAAGGGTTCAGGAAAAAGGACTCAAAAAGCAGACATCCTGTCCGAAGTGAAATTCGTGAGAGGCACCGTGGAGCCCTGGTTGATCCAAGTCCGGTGTGGATGAAAATAGGAGAGACCTCCCGGGCAACGACCCTCCTGCTTCAGTTCTGCAAGAACATATGGACCAGTCTACCCAGCCAGGGTCAGGAGGTCTCTCTATTACGATCCAATCAACACCCAAGTTCTGTATCCTCTACATAGTCGTTACTGATTAGCTTCTGGTTACTAGTAGCTATTTGCTCCTAGTAGTAATGCCCTTTGTTACTAGTAGCTTCTTGCTCCTAGTAGTAATGTCAGGAGCTACTAGTAGCTTCTTGTTCGTAGTAGCGATGCCCTTTGTT